ATGGCACCAAGAGGTCATGTGGAAGCATTTCATTTCTGTAAAATATTTTTCTGTGAATTGTTTTTGTTTTTTGTTTTGTTTTGTATCTTGTACCACATGGGACGCTAGCTGTGAGGACCAGAGGCCCACTGAAGCTCACTTAGGCCAGAGGGGGGCTGGGTGGTAAGGAGACGGGTGTCTGGGGACCAGCCGCCTGAGGGTCTAGCACCCTGATGGGCCCCAGGCAGGATACGCAGTTCCCGGTCCCACGGAGCCTGGGGGCAGGGAGGCTGAGGCTCCCGGTGTGAGTTATTGGCTGTAGTGGTCTGTGGACAATAGGAAAAGAGGGGTTTATATTTTCTTTTTGCTTATGTACCTCCCGATTTCCCTACCTCAGTGGTGGATTACTTGTGCAATTAATCACAACAGAACAGAACGTAAGAGTTCATTGCGTTTCCCCCCCCGGCATGTCACCCCTGGTTCAAAGTTGCCCCAGTTCAGGGGTGTGGTCCCATCTCAGCCCTGTTGCCAGAATGGTCTCAACTCAGTTTGATTTCCCCGGTTATGTCCACCACCTGCCCAGACGCTCCGATCGATGCTGAGTTTGTGTTTAATACAGTTGACCTTGAACAATGTGGAGGTTAGGGGCACTGGCCCTTCCCCCCCAGAGTTAAAAACCCATCTATAACGTCTGACTCCCCCAAAACTTAACTACTAATAGTCTACCAATGACTAGAGGCCTTACCAATAACATAATCGATTAACACATATTTTGTATGTTCTACGTATTATATCCTGTATTCTTACAATACTGCAAGCTAGAGAAAAGGAAGTGGCGTTAAGAACATCACAAGAAAGAGAAAATGCATTTACGGCACCGCACGCGTTTATTGAAGATCCCACGTATACGTGGGCCTGTGAAGTTCAAACCCGTGTTGTTCAGGGGTCAGCTGGGCAGGACCTGGGCAGACCCGCGCGTGAAACGCTGTTCATCTGGTGCTGGGAACCGTTGCCGGCGAGGAGCCCTCCGTAGAGGCCGTGGCCCGCCCGGCCCGGAGACCATCTTGTCCCCTGCGCTGGATAATCTGTCCCAGTCTGGGCGACTTTTCCCTGTCTGGGTCCTGGAAGCCACGTGGCTTCTCACTCACGGGTCTCCCCCTGTGAGAAAGAGACTGTGCCAGGTTAGAGACAGGCTTTGCTGCCGCTGCACCAGCCCAGGGCCTGGAGGGTTAGTGGGAAGGGCCATCGAGCCCGAGATTAGGAGAAGCTGGTGCGGGTGCCCCCCAAACCCTTCCCGACCGAGCACCACCCTCCCCACTGCTGGCCCAGCTTCTCCAGGTTCTCAGAATGTTTGCTTGGTGATGGTTGACTTTTTTGGAGATGGGAGCTAAGGCTGGAGGGTGCATTGAGATTTTTTTTTTTTTTTTTCTATCAATTAAAAAGGCTTCAGGGCTTTAAAAATTTCCATTTTTTACATCTGTTGATTGAATACCTGTTATGTTTCATGAATGAGGATTCTGGACCCCGAGAACAGAACAGTGACTCGGCCCTCAAGCTGCTCACATTCTAGCTGGGGAGATGGGTAGTTATATGCCGAGGTCTGGACTAAGCTCCCTCGGAGCTTGTGAGAGTGGAGAGGAGGCGCCCCGAAGAATGAGCGGGAGTTACTCGGGTGAAAGCTGTGTGACCTCGGGCAACTTACCTATCTTCTCTGAGCTTCAGTGCCTTGTGACATGGTTGTCACAAGGGGGTTTGGGGGAAAGGTTGAACAAGAGCGTGTGAGAGATGCGTGGCACGGAGCCTGGCACGCAGCGAGAAGCTGGCTGTCCTGTGATGATGATGATGATGACAGTGACGAGTCCCCAGCTAGGGAGAGACAGATGCGAGGGAGGCTGGGCGTAGGGGAGGAGGCAGAGGGCCTTCTCCTACATCACCCTCACCCAGCCTCACCCGGCCTCACCGCAGACGGGCTTATTGACGATTTGGGGGAAGACGGAAGCGCTGGGAGGTTTTGATCTGGGAATTCCAAGTGCAGACAGTGTCACCCGTGTGGAGGAAGATTCGCCGGATGTCCTGACCCCCAAGTCCCACTGATATGTTAATCTCAGGAAAAGAAACCTCAAACTCACCTGTTTTAATTTTCTTCCCTGCCTCCCTTCCCTTTTCCCCTTCAACCAGGCCGTTCTCCAAGAAGAGAAGGCACAGGTAAGAGGCTTGTCCCCTCCCGCTGCTTGCTCCCACCCTTGCCTTCTGAGCCGGGAGCCCCAGGCCCGCTCTCGGGCTCACCCTCACCATCCTCCCGTGCTGTTTCCTCCCAAATGGAGGCCTGGCCTGGTCGCCCTGCAGGCTCCAAGGCAGCTTTCAGCTTCCACCAGGCAAGGCGCTTGCTCCTGAACCAGGCCTCAGGCGCCCCTCTCTGGAGAGTGTCTCCACCCCTGCCTCAGCCTGTTTGTTTTGGCACCGATTGAAACCTTGGGGTGGGGCACGTAGAGAAAGAGCAGCCCCAGACGCCCCANTGAACCAGGCCTCAGGCGCCCCTCTCTGGAGAGTGTCTCCACCCCTGCCTCAGCCTGTTTGTTTTGGCACCGATTGAAACCTTGGGGTGGGGCACGTAGAGAAACAGCAGCCCCAGACGCCCCACCAAAGCCTTCCCAGACCCCGGCCGAGCGGCAGAGGCCGAGTCCCACTGCACTGAAAACACTGAGCGGTGGCCCAATGTCACAGTCAAGGAAACTGGGTCTCTGAGAAGGCGGGTAACTTGCCTGATGCCACACAGCAACTGCAGTGGGGCCGGGACATGAACTTGGAGCTTTCAGTGAGGTCCTGGGCCCTCCCACTGCCCGGGCTGAGTCTCCAAAGTGGAGACAGACCCCGCGGCTAACGTCCGGGTCCGAGTTCAGTGGGACAAAAACAATCTTCCTGTTCCCGGGACTAGGCCAGGCCTGCATTCCCCGCGGGTCCCTGAAGCCAGTCTGGTCTGAACTACCGAGCAGCGTTCACCCGCCGGGGCCTCAGCTGTCCACTCCCCAAGCCCTCTGGCTTAAAATCAAAACAAAACAATAAACCCCAGGTGCTTGAATAGTCTCGGGCAGAACATTTCAGCGTCTGCCAGGCTTCCTGCGGCTTCAGGGTGTCTCCTTGAATAGTCCATCTCTTCTCTAGGAACCGGCTTGAACCACAGCCAAGGGCGTGGGCTCTGGGGACCCTGGGCTGTGGCCACGGCCCCGCTCATCTGCGTGATCCCGGGCAAGCTTTTTGGCTCATCTGAGGCTCAGTTTCCACATCTGTAAAATGAGTCCTTACTCAATTTGTGCCTCTACCCATAGGTTTCAGGGGAAATAAAATAAGATTATTGACAAAAAGTATTTAGCAGGACGTCCGCTCTACAATAAAGCCCCGGAAAATGGCAGATATTATTATTACCTTCATTACTGCTGTTATTATGAAGCTGCCAGTGCTGACCCCAGCATCTCCCGCACCCCATTCCCTGTGCGTGGGGGCCAGTGCCTCTGGCTGAACCTCCTGGTGAAAAAGTCGGCACTGACTGCTCTGGTCTTGGAGACAACGGGTGTCTGTCCCCAAACAGCCTGCATCCCACGGCCCCTGTGTGTTGAGCATTTTAACTACTTGTTTATGTTTACTTTTAACGGGAATTTTGCATCTGTCAATTAATCGGCCATTCATTTCTCATTTAGCTCCTCCAGCCCCAAAAGCAAGAGAAGGGAAGAGAAGAGGCACAAAAAGCAGTAAGTAGAGGCCTCCGGGAATGATCTCTCCGCCCGGGGAGGCAGGGGCCTGGGGAGGCAGCCAGAGTGTGACAGCTGCCTGATGAGCTGGAACGGGGAGAGGACAGGGGGCGACAGAGCCGTGTGTGGACCTGCTCCGAGTGCACACGGTGGCGTATATGATGCGTGAGTGTGCATGTGTGTTTGTGTGTGCATGAAAGTGAAGGGTGTGCATTTGTGTGCCCGACGTGCCTACTGTGTGTGAATTCTGTGTTTCCGTGCATGTTTTGTGTATTTATTTTTATCTAGTTTACATATGTGTAGCGTACACATTGTTTGTAAATGTGTACACTTTTCTATCGTGAAAACACTTGTGTGAACCATGTGTACAAATGTATGCAGTATGGGTACACAGTGTGTGTGTTATAGTTGTGTTCACACGAACGCATCATGTGTGCCCGTGCTTACGTGAGCATGAGCGTGTCCAGTGTGCATCGTAGGCGCACTATCTGCCGCTGTGTGTGAATTGTGCACACCGAGGGTGCACTGCCCGTGTGTCTGTGTACATCACCCACTCGGGGGGGGGGGTAGGG